AAAGGTGGGGGGGGGGGGGGTCTTCTAATTTACCATATGCCCACACAACTCTAACCCCCTCTAAAGCTTCTTTTGTTGGAAGAGGAGAGCAGGGGGAGAGAGTGAATGGTGGTTTGGAGGGGGAGGAGGTAAGGAGTGTGGCTCTTTCATAGCATAGGAAAAAGGAGGAATTAGAGTTAAGAAGAGGCTTCTGTAGTAAGCCTGCCTACCTCACACACACACACACACATATTACCGCTCTATTTGGATGCCTGCTCTCACAGGGCATGAAAAGCGTGTCACCATTCACCCAGCCCCCTTCAAAAACGAGCCACACAACACACACACACACTGATGTGTGAGGAACCCAAACAGCTGTAGGCCTGGCTGCAGATAAATGGATTCCCACAGACACCAAATGGCTTGGAAAGGAGAACTGTCTCACAGACTGTAGATTACCAGAGAGCCAGGGATTTAAACAGATTTAATGCATGCTGGGTGAATAATACTACATCTGAGCCTTTGCGAATTTAAAATGATAGTTTACCCAAAAAATTATTTCTGGTTTATTCAATTAAACAATGTCATTCTGCCTAAAATCTTACTTTGTGCCTCACAAAAGTAAATCATTCTTGTGAATAACTTGTGCGAGTACATGTCATTTCATTCTAAGCTGAATCATTGCTTTAATAAAAGGATGTGCAGTGTGGTTCAGATATCCAGTGACTCTGTGTGTGTGATCTGTGATGGATGCCAGCATATGCTCAGCGAAGCCATGAAAAACAGACAAGCTGAGCATATGTACGCTCCATCTAACGGCAGGGACTAGATTAGACGTATAATCCTCAAGCCAAGCTCCATCTCACATGTCAGATATTATGACCAACAGGCAGAAGAATCATACTCACTTCTGCTCAGCATCCAGAGCATCCAAAGGGCTGGGAGACTCTAGTCCAAGACCTGTGGGGAGGAGACACAGGTGAGAAAACCGCCACAAGCTGTTAATAATACAGCAGAGCTTAACTATAGCCTAAAGATCACTGCTCACATTCCAAATGGTATGACCTGTCACACACCCACACTGTATGGCAAGCTTTAACATTCCTCTCAACCAACTCAAAAAAATGCATTGTTAGTAGCACTTAATTTCATTACTAGTGAGCAATTACATCCAACTAGTATGCTTTACAATTATTGCTCATATTTATTAGATAATTGTAACAATTTATGAGACACAAAAATCTATTACTAGCAACACTTTTCATCTTACTAGTTACTGCTTTTTTAAAATGACACATCTAATGACTTATATAAATAACTAAAAGTTATAATTAAGTTAATGATTTATAAAGTTGCCAATCCAACACACTCTTGGGTAAACTATTTTACATTTTAGCAAATTATGGCTAATTTGTAAACGTAAACTTTTTTACACCCCACAGAAGGTTCAGTTTATAGGGTGGATGCTTTCTAAATAATAAAAACATTGCACAAATCACATTGAACTAATTCATACAAATCACCACCCTGCTACATTACTAATGAGGTGACATTGGCTAGAAACAAGTGTCTATTAATTTAACACTATGACAACTGGAATTGATACACTTTACTAATGAACAAGTAGCATTAACTAATAAGACCTTAGTAATTGAACATGACGGGTTTTTTTTTATTTAACTGCTCACTATCAAAAATAAGTGGTAGACAGATAAAAGCTTAAAAGGCTTGCCATACACAAACTCACTGGCGTTCAAGTTTTTACAGGAAAACGAATGCATGTTCTCCAAGCTAACCTGCATCTGAAGAAGCATCAGAGGCGAAGGAAGGGATCTTCAGGAGGGGCAAGGTTTTCTTCCGCTTTGGTGTCTCACATTGACTACATCAAAACGTCAAAGCAAAGAATTTAAAAACTGAAATGTATTGCATTATATAAACGGTTTAACTATTACACAAATACACCAGGCTTTGATAGCGAGAGTAACGTAATGTAATCAGCCTCAGAACAATTCCAGGAAGTAGCTCTGTGGTTGTTTACTTTTTACTCGTGCTATCAAAGAATAGCCCAGCTTCACTCACCCTCCAAGAACAGCGAGATTATTCAGGTTTAGAGCCAGGTTGGTCACAGGAGACAGCACTGCCATGGGTCCGGGGGAGGACAGGTTCACGCAGGGGGAGCCCCTCGCCCCGATCTCCGGTAAGGAGAGCAGCGGAGGTCTGAGGACTGCATCGGGCCCGGCGCTGAACGGATCATTTACAGGGCTGATGTCGCCTGGAGCAATATCAAAATCCATCTCTGAAGGGACGCGGATCGTCGGATGATTGTTGAAAATAAGATCCAGTCAAGCGCGATTAAGACGACAAAGGGTTAAGCCAAGTTAGCAAGCGCACAGCAACCAGGACAGGGGCTTAAATTGATCTTATTTAGGTTTGAGAAAACAACTTGCAGAATTCTGCATAATAACTTCGCCAGATTACACAAGACACTATAAAAAGGGGGGTTTTAAAAATCCATCTTCTGTGATCTTTGTTGTCAGAGAGCTGCCGATTAGATTGCACTCTCTCTGACCTTTCCAAACTCTGCTGAGGAAGAAAGTGCTGAATGTAGCTCTTATTTATGTTCAAAACAGGCAGTCCACAAGCGGCAATCGGAGTAGCCAATGAGTAGCACCGTTATATCTGATTCAACCAATCACATGCGCTTCCTCTTTTTTCCGCATTGTTCTCTGAGGGAAGGTGGGCGGTCCAAAGAATGACAGACAACTTTGATGTCCAATGAACATTAAGGTAACAACAGCGCTTCTATAAACTCACCCAATGGCTTTTATGTTTACATAAATTGGGCGGGATATAAATGTATAGATGTAGAACGAGGAAAGCTTTTCCCGCGGAACAGTTCAAGCTGCAGCTTGGAAACGCCTTCAGTTGCAAGAAAACCAATCAAATGCCAACGTCCTGGCGCGGAACGTACCACTCAAATCTCATGGACAAAGAAGTAAATATATATTTGTTTACTACAAAACAAACGTTTGTAAAACGTCTGTTTTTGGTATATGTTTGTACTGGTAGTTCTCTGCAGTTTATTTATTTAACTTATAGGTAGTTGAAATTGAATTTTCAGTATTTTCAGCAATTATTTGATGTTATCATCCAATTTTAATTTTAATTTAATAATTTTAAACTATTTTAAAATAATCTTTTAAGTATTCTTCAAGCTTATCATACATGCAGTTTCCATTACCTCATATTAATTTAGAGAGAAAGCTAGTGATGTCAAAAAGATTTAAAAATATGAAAATATTTAATGTATAATAAAACAAAACGGATATACAGTTTCCCTTATAAATGTACATTTTAACCTGAAAAAAAGCTGAGAAATAAAAAGGTTCCCAGGTTCCCCTGCACGCATGTCAACTACTTTCATATTAAACTAGCCATTGATGCCAAATAGAGGCTGTGAGTGTTTAAATTAGCCTAAAGATAAGAGATAATACAAATGTTTATGACTCAAATTCTCAGCTTTTTGCTGACCTGGCTACATTTACATAGCCACATTAACCTAGTTTCCATTTCATGACAAATAGTACTGTTAGACAGTGACACAGATTTGGCAAAACAAAAAGGGCTGACTGTGAACACAGAAATCTGTTATTGAATATATGAATATTGTGGCCCGTTACTTTACCAAAATATGAATATGTTTCTCAAAACAAGTTGCTATGGATGTTGAATGTTAAGGTAATTACATTAACTAAAAGCAAAACTGTTTTTGTTTTGCCAATTCTATATGTTTGTGTGTATGTTGGGGGAAGGTGACACTTTAGCTTTATGCTACAAGTGGCCTTTGTCAGAGTGTTTCAAACAAATTAAAATGAGGCTGTGTGAGAAATATAGCCTACGTAAATTCCTTCCCTGACCTATAGATCTTTGTGGTGAGGATATCTGATGAAGTTGGCCAACACATAGGCTGTAAGAGATAAAACATACCATTCAGTGCATGCCCAAAAATTATCCAATATCTCACTTCACACATGCATCACAAACTACGCCATGGCCCTCCAGACAGTAGATATAGCATATGATTGCTTGAGGAGATTGCTGGGATATACAGACACTTTCCAAGAGAAGCCCTTCACTTCACACTAGGGCTCTTTACAATAAAGTTCACACTATAGGCAAGATTCCAATATGAATTTAATGCAAACTGTGGTACTGTCGGAATTTTTATTTTGAACATTTGGTAAGGATGAACCGTGACAGCCTTAGAAAGACAAAACAACCTGATTGTACCTGTTAGCCTTGATAACCTCCCGGTCACCCTCCTCTGTTTCTGCAGAATCCCTCCAATTCTAGCACAATGGGACTGTGGGAATAGGATGGGAAAGCTCATTGATTTACGTGCATGTCAGTTAATCATTTTATTGTAGGTTGTTTTATTTTGTTTAGTTTTTTTTACATTCTTCTGTTATATATATACCGAGTAGAGACAGGTACAGCCAGAATCATTGTCATACTAAAAGAGATGTTATAAAAAGGTTTTTAACCAAAATAATTATATACTTTTAAAGTCTTTTTTTATTTTAGATACACATATTAATTCTATTATTTACGTTGTGTGTTTGTTCTGAATGTGCATTTGTTTCACAGATCTGTAATATCAAATATACCGTTAAAAAGTTTGGGGGTCAGTATCTTTTTTTGTTTGTTTGTTTTTAATGAAATTGATGCTTTTATTCAGCAAGGATGCATTAACTGATCAAAATGACATTTATAACGCTACAAAAGATTTCTATTTCAAATAAATGCTGTTCTTTTGAACTTTTTATTAATCATGAGAATCCCGAAAAAAAAAAAAAATTTTCACAGTTTCCACAAAAATATTAAACAAATGCAAACTGTGGTACTGTCGGAAGTTTTATTTTGAACATTTGGTAAGGATGAACCGTGACAGCCTTAGAAAGACAAAACAACCTGACTGTATCTGTTAGCCTTGATAACCTCCCGGTCACCCTCCTCTGTTTCTGCAGAATCCCTCCAATTCTAGCACAATGGGACTGTGGGAATAGGATGGGAAAGCTCATTGATTTACGTGCATGTCAGTTAATCATTTTATTGTAGGTTGTTTTATTTTGTTTAGTTTTTTTTACATTCTTCTGTTATATATATACCGAGTAGAGACAGGTACAGCCAGAATCATTGTCATACTAAAAGAGATGTTATAAAAAGGTTTTTAACCAAAATAATTATATACTTTTAAAGTCTTTTTTTATTTTAGATACACAGATTAATTCTATTATTTACGTTGTGTGTTTGTTCTGAATGTGCATTTGTTTCACAGATCTGTAATATAAAATATACCGTTAAAAAGTTTGGGGGTCAGTATCTTTTTTTGTTTGTTTGTTTTTAATGAAATTGATGCTTTTATTCAGCAAGGATGCATTAACTGATCAAAATGACATTTATAACGCTACAAAAGATTTCTATTTCAAATAAATGCTGTTCTTTTGAACTTTTTATTAATCATGAGAATCCCGAAAAAAAAAAAAAATTTTCACAGTTTCCACAAAAATATTAAACACTGTTTTCAACACGTATACAGTTTTTTTTCAACTGCTTACACACATTTTCAAAGCTTTGCCTCTTTTTTTCAAAACATTGCACACAAATCCAAGAATTGCACACAATGCAAAATGCCTCGCATCGCTTGCAAAATGAAGCACTGCATTCAAAATATCACAAACACATCTCAAAAGCAAACATTTGCAAACACCTTTGCCATAATATTAATTATTGTTAGATTTTTGTGTTACATAATTGTGTGTTGTGTTTTGCAAAAAGTGTTTTATGCCATTGAAAACTGAGTCTAAGGCCGAGAATTAGTGTATGGTTTTGCAGATTTAGTGTGTGGTTCTGCTGTTTGAGTGCCAGGTTTCAGAAATTGTGTGACAAGTAAAGATTTTGTGTGCAAGCAGTGTGCAAAAAAAAAACTGTAATAGTAAGCACCAAATCAGCATATTAGAACGATTTCTGAAAGATTAAGACTGAAGTAATGACTGCTGAAAATTCAGCTTTGCATTACAGGAATAAATTACCTTTTAAAATATAACAACAGAAATTATTTTAACTAAGAGCTTAAGAGACTTCCTTCCACAACATGAAAAAAAATCTGACCCACAACCTTTGAATGGTAGTGTAAATTGAGTTGATAAGTTTTAAATTAAAACTAATTACATTACAACTCCCTATAAAATTAATAACCCAAAGAAGACTTAAAAAGCATTTCATGAAATCTTACAATGAGATCATCTTTTGTTTAATGACTAAACAAAGACTAAATGTCTGTCTTCACCTATGCTAGTCTGATCACATGTAGCATATTACTAAAAAATAGCTTTATTAGATTTATAGGGCCCAGGTCTGAGCCAGCCAGGGTAACAATTATTAAAATCTCAAAGTGCACAATAAATTCATACTAAACAACAGCAGGAAAAGTCTCATGTCAAACTGGATGAACAGGCTTGTATTGAAGGATCTCAGAGAACTTGCCCAGACAGTTTTACTACGAACTGACGTTTGCTAACGGGTAAACACCTGCTGTGCGGATTCACAAAAGGACATGTGGGCTTTCTCAGGGCGGGAGAGATCAGCCTCACTCAAGACACAATTGTACCAGCACTGATATAATCTGTAAATTTAGATTTTTCAAACTGTCTATGGGTCTGTGAAATAACTCACACACAGCTTGATATAATGTTAGTACAAGAAAGAACAAATGTGCACTGCTCAATTAAATTTGTTCTAAGTAATCACTTGGAATTGAATTACATGAAAATGCAGATAAAGGAATCCTGATTATATATTTCTCATAATATCTAAGGACCTACACTAATCTCTGAATGAAGTGCTAAACTGGTGGTCCCGACACAACAGCTTATGAATGCATTGTGCAAGTGCTTTGACCCATTAAAAATGTCTGTTGCTTTAATGAACTTCCTGGATAAAGAGTAAAGTGGGGACTCATTCAGAAAGGAAGACAGTGCTCTATCCCTGATCCACAGCCCTCAAATCAGAGTCACATCTATAGAAATGGTATATATAGAATGATGTACACAATCCCTTTGAAACCCCTAAAATGTCAGCTTTTGTCTGTGTGTAAGTGAATGTTCACATCCATGTGACAGGTGGTCTGGCCTAAACGCTTCGCATTTGAGGCTTCTGCCTCAGTGAATGACTGAGTGTGAATATAAGCATTTGCATAGCTCTAATGTGGAGAGTGTATTGCTCTGTTATTAATGTCCTCTTCAGTTAAACCTGCCTCATTACCACCCTGAGCCATCAGGAAAACCCCAAAGCCCAAATGGTGCAAAGGGTCGTGCATTAACACATGCATTGGAGAAGAACTGAACGCACTAAACCCCTCACCTGCCTCTCTCACACACACCTCACTTACTGAAGATGTAAGAAAAGTGACTGTGGTACTTAAGTGATCTTTGGTAAAGATCTCAAAGTCAAACAGCTGTTGAATACATTTGAATGAAAATGAAAAGAGGCAGTTTGTGACTTTTTTGGGGGGGTTGTTTTTTTGTATTATGTGTGTGTGTGTGTGTGTGTGTGTGTGTGTGTGTG